CATGCTGGACATGGAGAGCACCTGCAGTGCTGCTGCTGAGAAGATTATGAAATCCTGCAGCATCATCACTTGTACCGCTTCATTTTCACACAGAACAAGACACCCCACACACACACACACATGTGCGCACGCACACACACACACACACACACATGCGCGCGCGCACACACACACACACCCACGCACGCGTGTGCTCGCACACACACAGCCTGAAGCGCAGAATACGGAATGCAGTCTCTGATTTATGAAGCGGAGATTGCGTGCAGCTGTGCGTACTCCATGTTTGATAGATCACACACCTGCTTGGCGTAAGTACTTTTTTTTTTTGCTGAGCTTAAGTACGGTTTTAGTAAGGATTCTACGCCATGTTTGATAAATGTGAGTTGGGTTAGTATCCTATTTCTGCTTTTCTCAGCCTCCATCCTCAGACTCCTCCAGTGTTTTGGAAGGTGATGGACTCAGGTTTACTTTTTGCAGTGAAAGACTTCAGCTCTCAAGGTGATGCCCTGCACAACGAGGTGCTTTGTTAAATTGCAAGTACTTCTGACTTTCACAGCACAAATCTTCTCGCTGGTGTTGCATTTAGCTGCTGTTTTCTTTTGCAAAATGCACCCAAACTTGAGTTTTTTAGCATTAATGATTCCGAGTGGAGATGAGTCTCCTTTCAACAACACTTCTGCGAACTGCAGACAAGTGTTGTTGAAAGGAGACTCATCTCCTTCACTTATAATGTGACTCAGGATCAGTCACGTGACCTGCGGTGGCACACTAGGACATTCTAATATTTTTTTCTGATATCGGTATCTAACAAATGTTTTCACTCAGTCCCAAAAGGTCCAGAGTTCTGGCACCCAGCCCTAGGCGTCAGTCAACCTTTCTCATGGTCTGCTGGTATTTTCCCCATTTCTCCTCTGCTGGAGGTCTGAGTGGGCTGTGGTATGATTACCGTTTAGCACCACTGCTGTATAGCGGGAGATGAAAACGTCACAACTTCGGACTATTTTGCATTGCTACATGTGTTTTGTGGATTCGGCCATGTCCCTCAGGGGGCCCTGTGGGGAGTACTCAGGGAATATGGGGTACCAGGCCCTTTGATACGGCTGTTAGGTCCCAGTGTGAGAGCTTGGTCTGCATTGCCGGCGGGGTACACCCAGGACAGAGAGCCAGTCCATTGCAGCCCTTTATAACCAATTCTGTTCATATATGGACAGGATTTCTAGGTGCAGCCAATGTGTTGAGGGGATCCGTTCTGGTGGTCTAAGGATCAGGTCTCTGCAATTATTGTTTTTTCCACTCTTTATTTATGCTATGTTATTTAATAAAAATGATTGTGGTTGATAAATGAAACTTTAGAGGACAAATACAGTACAGAGAATAAGACACAGTTGTCAAAATTCAAGAGTTTTTAAGGGATTATTTCCAAATTCCTAAATTCAATGCCTTTAAGACTTACTAAGACCCCGCGGGAACCCTGTACTAAAGAGGCTTATCAACCAATGCAGATGATGAAAAAAATGCGAAATATCGACCCGATTAATTGGCCCACCGATAAATCGGTTAACCTCTAGTTGGAATCGCCACTATAAGTACCAGTAATATTTTTGGACTTACTTGTGTATATTTTTACTTAATTTTCCACTAATGTCAACATCCCATTGAAAAAAATATCCATTCTTTTTATGCAAGTTTTATAGAAACAAAATTATGTTTTTTTTTTGTTTTTGTTTTTTTACAAAAAATCTCATTTAGTAAACATTTAGGGAGGAGGGAAAAATAGATCATCGACTATAATCTCTGAAAAAGGTCAGATCTAATATTGGCGTTCTGAATTTTTTTCTCAGAATTCTTAGTAGAATAAATCAGTGACTCAATTAAATAATTTAATTGTTAGTAATGTGCATTAAAAGGGTTTGATTTGCACGTATGTGAAACAACAACCCCAGCACTGTCGGATTCTTCTCTGGGCTTTAGCTTGATAAACTGTAAATCTGCTATGGATCAATTACTTATTTTACCGTGACCCTGGGAACAACGACACACAAACATAACTGTCAGAGTTGCACTAAAAGACTGTATGGTGACTAGAGCTGAAACAACTAATCGATTTAATCGATTATAATCAATTATTAAAATAGTTAACAACTTTTTTAGTCATCGATTAGTTGTTTAATAATCATATTTTACCGCATGAAGTCTATTTTTACCACAATCTGACGTCGGTTACAAGCTGTTAAATTTGCCGCCAGTGTGTGGCAGTAATGAGCCACTGATCTACCAGTGGAGCCGTAGAAGAAGAAATGAGCCAATGAGTGCCCTCGGTTTTCATGACGTATCACGTTACTGACGCTCATCTTGCTGTGAGAGATGGCGGAACAAGAGGAAATACGGAAGAAAAATAGAAGCGACAAAACTGAAGAGAAACCCCGGACAAAAACCTCACGAGTATGGGAGCACTTCACTCTAGATGCCTTGAAAAGACGGGTGACCTGCAAAATATGCAAAAACCATCTAGCATGGCACGGAAGCACGACGTCCCTAAGTGAACATTTGAGACGAAAGCATGTGGGGGCTGATGCAGCAGAGGAAGAGCACCGCGGTCAAGTGAGCCGTCATTTGGAAGAGCCAGCCCGGTAAGTAACAGAAAATAAACAAGCTGGACTTAGTGTTTTAGCTGAGTTCGTTATAGTGGATGTTAAACATGTTTTTTTGCCGCGTCAGTCTACGGTGTTCTACTTCTGATTGACTAGATGCAATCGTGAATCTCCTCCGTGTTGTGTATCATGCGCTTGCCAAATTCAGCACGTCTGTTTATAAGAATGTTCTCGTTAAGAGAAAAACGGCACAAACCCATAACTATGTTCCTCATTCAAAAAAGGACAACTCCGCGGTGAAAAATATACAGACGAGCTGTGTCCAGGTGAATATAACGCGGCATAGTTGTACGCTTTCAATTTTTAAATACAGGAGAAATTCAGAAAGTCCTTTTTTTAACTATCAAAAGGCTGTTTTACTATCTTAACACTGTAAAACGCCTCACAACACATTTTTATCATGTTTCTTAAACAGTATTACACAAAATAAACATTTTTCACATTTCTCTAGCTAATTTAAACACTCCCGACTCAAAGTAAAAACCTCATGAGCTTCTTACTTAGAGCTTTTTAATAGTAAAAAAAATTAGAATTTTTTTCTGAATATCTCCTGTTGCGGGCTATTTTGTAGAACGTAACCCTCAAAATAAATGATCACTGTATATTGTTAATTAATTCAAATAATATAATATTGATTTAGTGTTGTAGTGTGTGTGCTACTTTATTTTATATGTGTACTTATTTCAGTCTATTTGTGTTTCTTATGCAGAAAAAAACAAGCAACGATGGACAACTACATGGGGAACAAGACACTCACCCCCCAGCAATTCATACCACTTACAAACTCTATTCTAAACATGCTGGTAAAAGACATGAGGCCACTATCCATGGTGGAAGGAGCAGGCTTCCAGCTAATGCTAAAAAAATTATTCTGGACTGATATTTTGCACTGTTTAGCTCATTTTATACTGCTGACTGTTCATGTGCAATAAAATAGATTGCAGTCAACTACACAATTCTCTTATGTTTTTTTTTCTTAACTGAAATGCATCCATCACTTGTATAGGTTAAATAGCTAAACAATAACAAACCGATTAATCGATTAATCTAAAAAATAATCGACAGATTAATCGATTATGAAAATAATCGTTAGTTGCAGCCCTAATGGTGACTACTGGTAAATTACGTGTGCCTCAATGAGGACAAGACCGAGGCAGTCCTTTTTGGACCTAACGGCCGTGTTGATCCTACCCCACTGGACTGTGGGCCATTTCATTCAAAGATAAAGACAGCTGTTACAAACCTTGGGAGTTAAAATGGACAATGTCTTGGGCTTTGATGACCATGTGAATGGAATTGTGTCCACCTCTTTTTACCATCTACGTCGCTTTTATTACTACGCAGCTGGACTACTGCAATTTCCTCTTATTTGGAGTGACCAAGGCAACTTTGGCAAGGCTGCAACTGGTGCAAAACACGGCATCAACGTTTTTGATGGGAAAACGGAAATTCGATCATGTCTCCCCAGTCTGGGAATACCAGCATTGGCTGCCTGTGGATTTTCGGATTCGTTTTAAACTCCTTTTATTGGTTTTTAAATGGTTACATGGACTGGCTCCTTCTTATCTGCAGACATTAATACATCCATATGCATCGGCACGGGCGCTCTGCTCTGGCAACAAGCTGCTACTCACAGTGCCGAGGCATCGTTTAAAGATGAGAGGAGACAGGGCTTTCTCTGTGGCGGGCCCACAACTCTGGAATGAGTTAGCCTTTGATGTGCGCGCTTCACCATCAGTGACAGTTTTTAAGATCAGGCTTTTTTATTTGATCTGGCCTTTACACGAGGCCGTTAGTCTGCTGGTGTTTCTTTTTAATTGTGATTTGAATGTTTTTATTCCTGTTTTTAATCTTTAACCTTATTTTTTAATCTGTTAATCCTTACCTTATTAATTACTGATATATGTCTGTACAGCGCTTTGTTGTCACCCGTGCCTGAGAGGCGCTTTAAAATAAAGATTGAGTTGAGTATATGCTTTTTATATTTTACAAGTGTCTTAAAAAACATAGTAAAAATAAATCTTTTAAATTCTCAAATTTTAGGGGGGCTAGGATTTAATTCAGTGTGCTTCAGCACCCACAAAGTAGGTCAAAACCACCCGTGGAGCCAACAGTGCTTTAAAGCGACGTGTGGAAAAGCTGCAGGGAGCCTGGTTTATTGTTATCTAAAGGTTATGTGGATGAAGTGTAACAGACGTGATTCTCCTGTCCGGGGAATGTTCAGCTTGATCAAATGTCACGTGTGAACCACGTTAGAACAATAAATTCATCATTTTCTGACGTCATCCACAAACTAAATAATCAAGTAACAAAATCCCTCTTTCATCAAAATGAAACGTAATGCCACGTCTAGTTAGCTGGAGTCGAAGCACAGCTGACAGAAACACTTTCTAACAGGCGTGCTCGCGACGCACCAAGCCTGTCGGGACCGGATTGATCTGGCTGGCCTGCAGAGCAGTTTGTTCTGAGAAGTCCTTTCATGTCATTTTCAGCCAAGTAACAGTAGAGAGGTGAGCCGGTCCTGCTGCTCAAGAGCTGAAGACAGATGTGACCATTTCAGGACACGATGAGTCCCTAACGTCCCCGCTGCCTGCTGAAGCCTCCAGCCTAGCTTCACCGTCCATGATGAGGAGAGCTAGAGCTGAAACAACTAATCGATTTAATCGATTATAATCGATTATTAAAATAGTTAACAACTTTTTTAGTCATCGATTAGTTGTTTAATAATCACATTTTACCACATAGTCTATTTTTACCACAATCTGACATCGGTTACAATCTGTTAAATTTGCCGCCAGTGTGTGGCAGTAATGAGCCACTGATCTACCAGTGGAGCCGTAGAAGAAGAAACGAGCCAATAAGTGCCCTCGGTTTTCATGACGTAGCACGTTACTGACGCTCATCTTGCTGTGAGAGATGGCAGAACAAGAAGAAATACGGAAGAAAAATAGAAGCGACAAAACTGAAGAGAAACCCCGGACAAAAACCTCACGAGCATGGGAGCACTTCACTCTAGATGTCATGAAAAGACGGGTGACCTGCAAAATATGCAAAAACCATCTAGCATGGCACGGAAGCACGACGTCCCTAAGTGAACATTTGAGACGAAAACATGTGGGGACTGATGCAGCAGAGGAAGAGCCAGCCCGGTAAGTAACAGAAAATAAACAAGCTAATTATAGTGGTCCATCACCACACGCAGATCAAATTTGGGACTTAGTGTTTTAGCTGAGTTCGTTATAGTGGATGTTAAACATGTTTTTTTTGCCGCGTCAGTCTACGGTGTTCTACTTCTGACTGACTAGATGCAATCGTGAATCTCCTCCGTGTTGTGAATCATGCGCTTGCCAAATTTAGCACGTCTGTTTATAAGAATTGTAACGTTATGAACTTCATAATTTTCAGCTCCACACAGCTGCCTTTGTGCACAGTAACACCCGTGTAGAAAACGCCAAGGTCGGGTGTTCCTCAGACTGTTTACATTCCAGGAGAAGAGCCAGAAGGAGAAGAAGAACGCTTTTCAATAATCAAAGTACTTAATTTGTGATTAAAGCTAGTCGAAACAGATGTTGATCAATAATAATGAAGTGAATGATCTGTGGAATAAAGATGTCATGATTTATGTGTTTAATGAAAACAGGACTACTGCACAGACAGACTGACCCTCATCTCCATAGAAACGCATGACACATTGTTCCAACCAATCAGAGCTTTCGGCTGCCGCAAGAGAATCTGGCTTGTTGACTTAAAGTGTCCAATCCGCTTTACTAAAACTTATCAACAATTCAGAGATATAAAACAAGGCAACGCCATTTTAAGCTCAGTTCCATTTTGACTTCAGTTCTAGTCACCGTCATCCCAAAGAGAAGCACAGCCTGGCCAGATGTGTTTTCTTCTTTAAACTAAGAACTGTGAAGTTGGAGATTTTCGTAATTTAACAACCAGACGACATCCTTTCAAAATAAGAGCACCTGCTGACGCTGCCGATTGTTACCTGGGTCGACCCTTCAGACGGGCTTTGAAACGCTGCGATCGCTGTTTTGACCAGCTCCAGCGCACATCCGAGGTCTTCAGACCTGGCATTTCCTGATCTACCTGGGAGGCCCCCACTGGGTACGTACACGGCAAAATAGCTGCTCATGTCATCACTTTATAAGCCTCGTGATATCTAGTCATAACAAAGACTACCAGATTCAATGACGTCAGCCTAAGGAGTCTGAACCAACCACACACACACACACACACACACACACATCGAACATCACATTCATTTCCAAACAACACAGAGTTAGTCCTGATAGATTGTAGAATTTATAATAAAATTCTTAAAATTCTCTTTTCTTGTCTCAAGGTCAATACAGAGTGTTAAATGAACTCCCTGATGATAAAAACAACCTATTCTGATTATAAAAACTAGATCTACTTACAGTATATTAAAATACAACTCTAGATCGTTACATCACTCTATTTCTCTACAGAATGTTCTCGTTAAGAGAAAAACGGCACAAACCCATATCAATGTTCCTCATTCAAAAAAGGACAACTCCGCGGAGAAAAATATACAGACGAGCTGTGTCCAGGTGAATATAACGCGGCATAGTTGTACACTTTCAATTTTTAAATACAGGAGAAATTCAGAAAGTCATTTTTTTACTATTAAAAGGCTGTTTTACTATCTAACGCTGTAAAACGCCTCACAACACATTTTTGTCAAAATAAATGATCACTGTATATTGTTAATTAATTCAAATAATGCAATATTGATTTAGTGTTGTAGTGTGTGTGCTGCTTTATTTTATATGTGTACTTATTTCAGTCTATTTGTGTTTCTTATGCAGAAAAAAACAAGCAACGATGGACAACTACATGGGGAACAAGACACTCACCCCCCAGCAATGCATACCACTTACAAACTCTATTCTAGATTCTACATTATTTTTTATGGAATTTACCTCTTATATTTTGATGCCAAAAAATTATTCTGGACTGATATTTTGCACTGTTTAGCTCATTTTACACCGCTGACTGTGTTCATGTGCAATAAAATAGATTGCAGTCAACTGCACAATCCTCTTATGTTTTTCTTTTTCTTAACTGAAATGTATTCATCACTTGTATAGGTTAAATAGCTAAACAATAACAAACCGATTAATTGATTAATCGAAAAAATAATCGACAGATTAATCGATTATGAAAATAATCGTTAGTTGCAGCCCTAAGGAGAGCGCTCTTGACAATGACCTGCTCCCGAACCTTTCAGCCAATCACAGAGCAGTAAGGTGGCTTCCATTTCATCCAAACTGATGTCTGTTTCTACTATACTGTCTTTCACACACACGCACGCACACATGCATGCACGCACGCACACACACACACACACACACAGACACGCACGCACACACACACACGCACGCACACACGCACGCACACACACACACACACAGACACGCACGCACGCACAAACAGACCCGCACACACACACACATTCTTCTCATACACACACACACTCACGCACGCAGGCACACACGCACGCACACACACGCACATACACACACACACTTTCTGGGTTGACATAAAAATATCAGAGATATATAAATGTGAAAATGAAGAAAATTATGAGCGTGTGCATATGTGTAAAGAGAACATGTGTGTGTATGAGAAGAATGTGTGTGTGTGTGTGTGTGTGTGTGTGTGTGTGTGTGTGTGTGTGTGTGTGTGTGTGTATGAGAAGAGTGTGTGTGTGTGTGTGCGTGCATGTGAGTGTGTGTGTGTGTGTGCGTGCGTGTGTGCGTGCATGTGAGTGTGTGTGCATGTGAGTGTGTGCGTGTGTGCATGTGAGTGCGTGTGCGAGAGTGTGTGCGTGCGTGCGTGTGTGCGTGCATGTGAGTGTGTGTGTGTGTGCATGTGAGTGTGTGTGTGTGCGTGCGTGCCTGTGTGTGTGTGTGTGTGTGCATGTGAGTGCGTGTGTGCGTGCATGTGAGTGTGTGTGTGTGTGCGTGTGTGTGTGTGTGTGTGTGTGAGTGTGTGTGCGTGCGTGCGTGTGTGTGTGTGTGTGTGTGCGTGTGTGCGTGTGTGTGTGAGTGTGTGCGTGCGTGCCTGTGTGTGTGTGTGTGTGTGTGTGTGTGTGTGTGTGTGCGTGTGTGTGTGTGTGTGTGTGTGCGTGTGTGCGTGTGTGTGTGAGTGTGTGCGTGCATGTGAGTGTGTGTGTGTGTGCGTGCGTGCCTGTGTGTGTGTGTGTGTGTGTGTGACAGAGATGGAGTGGATGTGATCAGTTAGACCAAGCCTGTGGGGTCTGTAGTTTGCATGTCCTGTTACGGCTGCTACGTAGAAACGTTACGACCTGGCCAACAGGCTACCCCCCCCCCCCCCCCCCCCCCCCCCCGGCGATGCCCACCACGTACCTCCAGCCACACTCTGGCCAGCTGCAGGTGTATGGTTTCTCCCCCGTGTGCCGGCGGAAGTGTGCTTTCAGATGGCTGCTTTTGGTGTACATCTTGCCACACCCCGGGTGGGAACATTTATGAACCCTCTCAGTGGGGGGCGCTCTGGTCACACGGGGGGCAGCTGCTGCTTTTAGGAGCGCGCTGCCTTGCCCACCGGCTCCAGTCACTGTTGTGATCTCTAGAGTCCTCGTAGTTATGGGCAGAGGGGCGATTTTCACATACTTCTGATCAGCTGATTTGTTGTCACTGTTGCTTAGCGACAACAAGGCGGTGGTGGGTGTGGAAGAGACTTGAGGGGCCACAAGTGTGAGATTTGGAGCGGTGGCCCCCTGGAGCCCCATAACTAGGTGAGTAAGCCAAATCCCAGTCTGACCCCCAGAAGAAGACCCTGCTGGAGCCTGAGGTCGGGTCAGAGGTAGCGGCTGCAGCTGGAGGACCACTGGAGCTCCGAGGAGCATTGGTGGTGTCTGAGTGGGGGGTGGGGGGTTGGAGTTGGCAGAGGGGGACCCGGTTTGGCTCGTTCCATGTTCCTCTTTCTCAGGAGTCTCTGGACTGGATGAGCATGGGGTACGACTGGCGGCCGGGTCACTAACAGTCTCTGTGGAAGTAATGGGGGGTGCAGGGGAGGGTGGGGAGTCAGGAAGAGCACACAGGGGGGAGAAGGCTTCCTCCTTCTGCGGCTCCATCTTCTCCCTCAAGAATTCCTCAATGTCCTCCAGGGTGGGGGAAAACGGTGAGGAGGGTTGGTAGGGGAACTCTGGGAGCTTGAGCTCCAGATAGGCTGATCCAATATCCCCTTCTGAATCTAGAAAAATCTGCAGATTCCCACCTTCATCTCCCTCCTCCTCCTTGTCCTCTCCCTCTCCAGGACTGAAGCTGTACATGGCCCCCTGCTCCTCCATCCCGGGGCTGTCACAGGAGGCTGAGCTGCCCCCTTTGCTGCTGGCTCCGTCCTCCAGACAGAGGGACAGCAGGCTGCTGCTGTCCCGGAACAGCTCCGTGTCCACGGTCCTGCTGCTGAGGGACACCATCGATCCAGACCGCAGGAAAACGACCAGGAAGACGAATCAAAGCAACCTGCAAAGACAGGGAGAATTACGGGTAGCTGTCAGAAACACAAGAGTCCTGGAGGGAAAGTACAATTATACGTACCTGTTTCACTCTGGAAGCATCAGCTGCGAGAAACGGCAGCAGAAGGGTTTACTCGCAAACTTCAAAGCAGTTCGTTTCACTCTGGGAGTCTTGCTTCCTCGCTGTAATCGTCCAGGACGCGCAAGATCACAAAATCCCTCAAGACTTCAAAGGTCAAGGTTTGTTTATGCCATCCACCAAGAAACCAAACAGAAGAAGAAGAAGACGTTGTTATTGCTGTTTTATGGCATATATGATGTTGTTGCTCTCCCCTGCCAGGACTACAGCCATGAACAACACATGGCTGCACTTCTGGAGCGATGCTGCTGGGCCACACGAGCTCCAGATCAGGGCTGGGCAATAAATCCAAAATTTATCGGTATTGAAATTTATGATTTTCCCATGTGAATAAATGTGATAGCTAAAGATGAACAGATGTGTGGGTTGGCAGCGCTCGTGTCCCGTTAAGAAGCTGCACCACCTCGACTCTCAACGTAACACACGCGACAGCCCCATCTAGTGGACAGCTTTTGTTTGTGCGCATACCTGCAGTTATCGTCCATTTATCGTTATCAAGAGGAAATCCTCAATATATCACAATATTGAGTTTACGCTATATCACCCAGCCCTACTTCAAGTACATGAAACTGCACGGCTGCAGTACTTTTATTTTGAAAACTACTGGGGGGTTTTACACTGAAAGAGCATGTTATTTCCTGTCTAGCCCAATGTTAACTGTGGAAATGGACGCATCCCAGAAGTGTGACCCCAGCTTTAGGGTTCACGGATCCGAACGAGCCTCGTCTTCACTGTTAGTTTCCCACTTGTTGTCTTTGTTTCAAAAACAAACAACAACAACCTTCAGAGCAGGAGCTGATGAGGTCATAGCTGCTGAAGGTGGACCTTCCACACCAGCACCTTTAAGAAACCTGGTTTCCAGTACCAGTTCCTGAATTATTCTTTTCCTGGTACCAGTATTTACCAGATGTTTTGGTTTGGTACATAGCCCTACTGATGACGGTGTTTCTGTACTTAATCCGTTCATCTTCACACAAAAGCATGCTAACTGCACATCCCCTGTTGGTAGGGCTCAGGTAAAACAGCAGAAACATGGTTCAGAGCTCAGAAGGGCCACAGGAAACCAGACGTTCCATGGCTGGACTGCTGTTCTGGTCTCTTTGATCACAATCTCAGATGTTCCACTAACAGCTGATGTCACTAACGTCTGACCTCTGATACAAGTTTTAGAAACTAGGGGTGTGCACTGGCAAGAATCTGGTGGTATGTATGTCCCAGTACTAGGATACGATATAGTCTAATACTAAAAACCAGATATTTTTTGCAGTTTTAGGACAGAATTTAACAGGAAATCTCGAGCCGGATGCTTCCGTGACACAGCCCGTGTTGTGCCGAGTCCATTCCGGCACAGTGACAGCCCGGCTGCTGGTGTGTGGTGCACCACACAAAGAATACAGTACAATTTTGCTTGTAAATTCTTGATCTAAAAAAATCAATAGACTGCTTTTAAATATCCTTCCAGCATTGTTAAATGACATATGGTGATATTTTAGAGTACTTTAACATGCCCATTAGAACTTTTTATTCGCCCAAAGCCGTGGACTAGAAGTATAAACGCTGCATGTAAACATCAGCATGAGTGTTTCCCACCTGCTGCAGGACAGATGGGTTCCTCCCAGAGTCCTGGGTTTGGGCTAACCCTAGCTGAGGGTTACCATGGTGACCCTGATGAGCCACAGACAGCAGCATTAACATTCCCTTTCATTTTGGTTCTACCTACTTCTCTAATACCTCAAACACGGACGTTTGGCCTCTTTGGGGAGACATCTTTGTATCTTGAGAAGCTTTTTAGTTTCCTGATAAGAACAGAAAGTAAATAATAAATGCGTGTAAATGAGGTTCGTTACTTCTGTTTCTCATAAGTGAACACGTTCAAACGGACAACAGACCGACCGACTGGGAGGTGTGAGCAGGGCTGACTGATCTCAACCACGGGCAGGGGGAGGTTGGTGCTCCGGGGGCGTGGGGTTGTAGAGTTGCTGGAAATGTTTAATTAACCACGAATACAAAAGCACTGAAGGTGGAAGGCCTCTGGGTTCAGCTTCGGTGGGGGAGGAAGGACCCGCGTCCTGCCGCTGTCAGAGCGACCGAAGCGCCGTGTAGCGACGGGGCCTATCAGCAGCTCCCGACCTGCTGCTGGTAAACACGGCCTGCGAGGATGCGCCCGCGGCGGCATATGGCCACCGGAGTGGAGCACGAACAAGCACCGGGTCAGAGCACCGGGCCGGAACCAAACGAGCTGTTAACGGAGGACCGGACGGCAGCATGGCAATACGCAGAGGAATCCCCGAGTTTCAAGTTCGCCAGGGTCAGAAAGAAATAAAGGCTCTCGGTTTCTCCGGGAGAGCTGAGCAGGAAAATCCCCGAGGTTTAGCTCGGCCTACCGTGGGTTTCCCGGGTGGGGGTGGCGGTGAGAGCCCGCGCCGTCGACGAATCACGGTGTTCTCGTGTTTTCTACGGCCTCCGTCGTGTTATTGTCGTGGCACGCTAACAACCCGTCCTCGCCACGGGTCCATGTTGGCATTCCTGCTCCTCTTGTCACGTGACTGCATCGCTGCACAACTCGGAGGCATGGGTCTCGTTCCGCGTTTCTGATTGGTCGAGTGCTTTGGAGGCTCGCCTTAAAAACTGCGTGCTGATTGGCGGATGTTCTATAAATTCTGACTGCCATGTGTTGATCAGACCCAGGCCCAAAAGCTCGTGTAACCGCAGATGGAGACTTTTAGAAGGCGTCTGGGCCTCAAAATAACACGGCCCATTTTAATAAAAGTACTACTGATGATAAATACACCAGTTCCCTTCCGTGTGTTGCACCTTATTCATGCTAACATTTGGAGCTCAGCTGAGATATGATTATTTATGTATCTGAACAAAGCAAGTGCCCTTGAGGCTAACTGCTTAACGCTGCAAGTCGTGAAGCGCGTTCCATCCGCGAGCCGCATCACCAAGCGGAAAGTGAATGCATCAAGCATAAACCAAGCTTAACAGGGAAAAGCAGCAGTCAGTGGTGATGTGTTTAAATGTGGTACGGTGATTAACAATCACCAACTTGAGTTGTAGTTTAATTGTTTTAATCTACATTTTCTCTGTTGGTGCTTCGAGTCACTTCCTTTACACTATTTTACTTTTTCAGTCTTCCTACCTTAACACTTACTCTGAATTTAAGATTTTGCTAACAGAGAACAGCTACCACAAAGCAACCTTCCTGTGTCCTGCTGACAACTTCAGATGCAGTGCCTTTACGAAACTTTTGTAAGAAAGAACATTATGATTAATTTATGAATTGACAAAGAGTTCTTACATTTCTAAATCCCTCATTCTTCAATGTAGTGTACATTTTTATGTAGCATTGATTACTATTGATTACTTTATCACAAAATTTTTTATTTCCTTTGCTTTTGATTTCAAATGTTGTCAGTTATGAAATATTGTTTATTGTGCTCTTCCATTTTTGATTACAATATTTCCTCAAAAGCTTTCATTTTCCGTCATCGTCGTCGTCGTCTTCCTCCGCTTATCTGGGTCCGGGTCGCGGGGGCAGCATCCCAACTAGGGAGCTCAGATGGGAGACCATCCTCTCCTCGGCCTTCTCATCCAGCTCCTCCGGCAGGACCCCAAGGCGTTCCCGGACCAGATTGGAGATGTAACCTCCCCAGCGTGTCCTGGGTCGACCCGGGAGCCTCCTGCCGGCAGGACATGCCCGAAACACCTCCCCGGGAGGCATCCTGACCAGATGCCCAAACCACCTCAACTGACTCCTTTTGATCCGGAGGAGCAGCGGTTCTACTCCGAGTCCCTCCCGAATGTCCGAGCTCCTCACCCTATCTCTAAGGCTGAGCCCGGCCACCCTACGGAGGAAACTCATTTCGGCCGCTTGTATCCGCGATCTCGTTCTTTCGGTCATTACCCAAAGCTCATGACCATAGGTGAGGATTGGGACGTAGATCGACCGGTAAATCGAGAGCCTGGCTTTCTGGCTCAGCTCCCTCTTCACCACGACAGATCGGCTCAGCGTCCGTATCACTGCAGATGCCGAACCAATCCGCCTGTCGATCTCCCGATCCCTCCTACCCTCACTCGTGAACAAGACCCCGAGATACTTAAGCTCCTCCACTTGAGGTAGGACCTCTCCCCCGACCCGGAGTTGGCAAGCCACCCTTTTCCGGTCGAGAACCATGGTCTCAGATTTGGAGGTGCTGATCCTCATCCCAGCCGCTTCACACTCGGCCGCGAACCTACCCAGCAAGAGTTGAAGGTCAGAGCTGGATGAAGCTAGGAGGACCACGTCATCCGCAAAAAGCAGAGACGAGATTCTCCTGCCACCAAACTCGACACACTCCACACCACGGCTGCATCTAGAAATTCTGTCCGTAAAAGTGATGAACAGAACCGGGCAGCCCTGGCGGAGTCCACCCCTCACTGAGAACAGGTCCGACTTACTACCGGCTATGCGGACCAAACTCACGCTCCTCTGGTAAAGGGACTGAATGGCCCTTAACAGAAAGCCACCCACCCCATACTCCTGGAGCGTCCCCCACAGGGTGCCCCTGGGGACACGGTCATAAGCGTTCTCCAAATCCACAAAGCACATGTGGATTGGTTGGGCAAACTCCCATGCCCCCTCCATCACCCTTGCAAGGGTATAGAGCTGGTCCACAGTTCCACGGCCAGGACGAAAACCACATTGCTCCTCCTCTATCTGAGATTCAACTATCGATCGGACCCTCCTCTCCAGGACCTTGGAGTAGACCTTTCCAGGGAGGCTGAGGAGTGTGATCCCCCTATAGTTGGAACACACCCTCAGGTCACCCTTCTTAAAGATGGGAACCACCACCCCGGTCTGCCACTCCACAGGAACTGCCCCCGATGACCACGCAATGTTGTAGAGACGTGTCAACCATGACAGCCCTACAATAGCCTTGAGATACCCAGAATGAATCTCATCCACCCCCGGTGCTCCGCCGCTGTGTAGTTATTTGACTACCTCAGCAACTTCTGCCCCCGAGACTGGACAGTCCATCCCCAGGTCTCCCGGCTCTGGTTCCTCCTCGGAATGCGCTTAGGTGGTATTGAGGAGCTCCTCAAAGTATTCCTTCCACTGTCCGACTACAGCCCCAGTTGACGTCAGCAGCTCCCCATCCCCACTGTAAACAGTGTGAGCGAGTTGCTGCCTTCCTCTCCTGAGGCGCCGCACAGTTTGCCAGAACCTCTTTGGAGCCGATCGATAGTCTTTCTCCATGGCCTCACCAAACTCCTCCCACGCCCGAGATTTTGCCTCGGCAACTGCCACTGCTGCACCCCGCTTGGCTATCCGGTACCCGTCTGCTGCCTCCGGAGACCCACAGACCAGCCACGCCCTGTAGGCCTCCTTCTTCAGCCTGACGGCTCCCCGAACCTTTGGTGTCCACCAGCGGGTACGGGGGTTGCCACCACGACTGGCACCGGCCACCTTGCGACCACAGCTAGCAACAGCCGCCTCAACAATTGCAGAGTGGAACAAGGCCCACTCGGAGTCAATAGCCCCCACTGCTCTCGGGACGCGGTCAAAGCTCTGCCGGAGGTGGGAGTTGAAGACCGTCTTGACAGGTTCTTCTGCCAGGCGTTCCCAGCAGACCCTCACTATGCATTTGGGTCTGCCAGGTCTATGCGGCATCTTCCCCTGCCATCTGATCCAACTCACCACCAGGTGGTGATCAGTTGACAGCTCCGCTCCTCTCTTCACTCGGGTGTCCAAAACATACGGCCGCAGGTCAGATGATACGACTACAAAGTCTATCATCGACCTGCGACCTAGGCTGCCCTGGTACCAAGTGTACCGATGGGCATCCTTATGTTCGAACATGGTGTTTGTTATGACCAAACTGCGGCTTGCACAGAAGTCCAATAACAAAACAACACTCGAGTTCAGATCAGACGGGCCGTTCCTCCCAATCACACCCCTCCAGGTCAAGCTGTCATTGCCCACGTGAGCATTGAAGTCCCCCAGCAGGACAATGGAGTCCCCTGATGGAGCACTATCTAGCACTCGTCCCAGGGACTCCAAAAAGGGTGGGTACTCTGAACTGATATTTGGCCCATAAGCACAAACAACAGTCAGGACCCGTTCCCCGACCCGAAGGCGCAGGGAAGCTATCCTCTCATCCCCCGGGGTAAACCCCAACACACGGGCAGAGAGTCTTGGTGCTAACAAAAAGCCAACCCAGCCCTCCGCCTCTCACCCGGAGCAACTCCACTAAAGGAGAGTGTCCAACCCCTCTCAAGGACTTGGGTTCCAGAGCCAACGCTATATGTCGAGGTGAGTCCGACTATATCTAGCCGGTACCGCTCAACCTCTGCCACAAGCTCCTGCTCCTTCCCCGCCAGCGAGGTGACGTTCCATGTCCCAAAAACCAGTTTTCTTGTCCGGGGATCAGACCACCAAGGCTCCCGCCTTGGTCTGCCACCCGGTCCACATTGCACCGGACCCTTCATGTTCCTCTCTGGTGGGTCCACAGTTGGATGAGCCCATGTATCCGGTTCGGACTGGGCCCGGCCGGGCCCCATGGGCGAGAGCCTGGCCACCAGGTGCTCGCTCACGGGCCCCAACCCCAGGCCTGGCTCCAGGGTGGGACCCCGATAACCCTCCGGGCCGGGTACTCCGACTCTTTTAATTTGCTTCCATGAAAGATTCTCTCATTTTCCATTACATATATTATAGGGTTTTGTTTATTTCATTCTTTTATGCACCACCTTTCCAGTATGCGTCTTCACTACATCCACATCTTTCAGCTGACCATTTTTCACATAATCTGCATACACATAGCATATATAGGGTACATGTAGTACTTGTGTGTTTTTTTTATTTGTTCTTTTCCATTAGAAACCATCTGTGAGGGTCTATAGTAAAAAAATGTGTGTGTGTTTTGGTGCTTTGTTGAGTTTTGCCAGATGTCCTCGCTGCTTCTTCGACCATCACTTGGGTTCTGCTTCCTGCTGCTCTGGGTTATTTTTTTTTCTGGAGCTCAGTGAAGACGGTCCCCTGCTCTGAAGAGAAGCTCTGTGGATGGGATTTGAGGGCTGAAATTGACAACAAACCAAACAGCTCTGGATGTAGTCCGAGATGTCTCTACGCATCCCTGGCCAGCAAGCAACCTGGCTCAGGTCTCCAAACATGGCCTTTGTGTCCAGCTGAAGGAGAGTCATGTGCTTGCGTGATTATGCCCCCCCTTGAGGACGGTGGCTACACAAGAACAGGCGACGATGTAGGCTTAGAAACGTGCATAAGCACCCCTTTAACCATTCTCAGCGTGACCTGAACACGAAAGAGAGTGTGCAGCTCAGGAACTGAATCAAGCTTGGCAGAAGAAGGTAGATGAGCCGCACGATCAGAAAGGTACAGGGTCATCGCAGAAGTGGCCTGAGCCAGAGTCACGACACACACACACGAGATGGTTCTGATGGGGAAGAACATCGTCAGGACACCACAAGGGGTTGAAGGACCACACCTTGTTTAGCTAGTGAGTCTGTAAGGTTGTTCATCTCTTTGTCAGGTCCAGGTGCACGGGAGTGACCTTTGACTTTACGCCAATAGATCTGCATGTCATGAAAGGTCACAAAGGCATCGCACACCATGAAAAGGTCCCCGTGTTTGACGGGCTTCTGGTTGGAGGTCAAGAACCCATGACTTTTCCAAGAATGCAGATGGCAAGTAAAGCTGAGCCGAGCATAGTCCGAGTCATTACATATCATTCAGCTCATGTACACCGTGATCGGCAGCAAGTTGTAGGACTATCAGGATCCCAGCTA